TAATAAAGGACAATAATTAAAAGCAATATGAGGAGGCAGAGCCTACCATACAATTGTTGATTGCATAATAAATAAATAAACAAATATGAGGAGTTTTAATCACCCACATAATAAATAAATTAATTAATTAAATGAATAAACAAATAAATAAAGATGGGGGTTTTAATCTCCCACTCAATGATCCGAGGAGACATAGTCTACTATGTGATTATTTTTTATTGTGGAGGCAGAGCCTGCCATAACAATCAGCTCGGAAGAGACAGAGCCTACCATCCCGGCATAATAATAAACAATATAATTATTTGACCGTGGAGGCAGTGCCTACCATAACGATCAGCTCGGAGGAGACATAGCCTACCATCCCGGCATAACATATAAATGGAGGAAGCAGAGCCTATCTTTCCGTAAATCATAATATTCAAAATGAATTGAACATAAATGAATCTTACCTCTCTGGTATATAGACAAGCCAAGAGACGTTCGTGCTGATAACGTGTTGTAAACTTATGCTTTATAAAGAAAAGCAAAGAAGAGTTTAAGATCTTTTGAACTTCAGAGAGAAAGAGAGAAAGATGAACATAAGAACTTCATTTTTTTCTTTTTCTGAACTTATGATTTTACAAAGAATGAAATCACCTATTTATAGGAAAAACCTTACTTCATAGTGAAGTAAGCTAATCTATAAAGACAAAACATATAGATAAGCATTATCCATAACATATGGATAAACATTATCTAAAACTTATGGATAAGCATTATGTTTTAATATACTAATGTATAAAGACAAAAGCAAATGGATAATCACTATCCATTTAACAAAATATAAATAATAAAAAGTTATATAACTCAAGAATAATTAATATGATCGATTGTAATTTTTGTTCCTCTTAACATTCATCATTTAAACTCATAACAACCAGACAAAATAATACTTCCTCCGTTTCAAAATAAGTGTCGTTTTAGAGTTTTATTTTTGTTTCACAAAGAGTGTCGTTTTGTATTTCCAATATAATTTTTTAAACAAAAATCATGTTTCAACCCTGTTATATTAATATATTAATTAGAAAGAGAATGTTATTTTGTGTGTGAATAAAAGGTAAAACAGAACTTTTAATGCTTTTCTTAATTTGTGTGAAAAGTGTCAAAATGACACTTATTTTGAAACAGAGGGAGTAGAGAATAGTCATAATATGAAAACCATACTTATTGCAAATCAATAAAACTCATAAAAACTAATAAAGACCCAAAAAATAACTAAAACAGTAAAAAAACCGAACAAATGAATAAGAGTTCAAAAATTAATCTAAGCATCATTTAGTATTTCTCATTTTTGCCAAACTATTCTTAACCGCATTTCTAGTATCATACAAACTTCGCTAGGAGAAGCAACAGGCGCTGACACCAAAGAATCACTTGAACCTTCAGTAACACCAAAGTAACTTATCGGAGTCTACAGTATTAATTTCTTTAAATTAATAAACCAAACAATATATTAACTCAATATTTTGACACACTATATATAAACTCACTCGTGAATTAAATGCCTCATCAAACTTAGAAATCAGCTCATTATCTTTTGTAAATCTCTTAACCACATAGAAAAAGGACTTCATAGTAATATGTTTCTAAATTACAGATATCTTGAAAAGCATATCCTTTCCAATCAAGCTCCTTATAGCAAAGGACATCTCCGAATCATCTCCCTAGACAAAATAGAAGAAGATAAAAAAAACATAAAGCCTAAGAAACCCATATAAATCTTAAACAAAACATTTCCAAATAAAACAAAACATACCTCATCTACATCATCATAAATCTGCTCAGCTGTCTTACCAAATAAATCTAACTGTCATCTAATCAAAGGAAGCAACTTTTGAAGGAGTACCTTCAGAGGCGGTCACGTCAAGAACCAAAAAATAGCTAAATGAACAAAAAAACATAACGATTAGTATATATAGAACATTAAAACTGATACAAAATATGAAAATAAATATCCATTGAAAAATACCTTGCAGTAACAGAGGAAACGTCCTTATTACACTCATTACATTTTCACAAAGGTGAACCCTGTGTATCTACCTTATCGGGGTAAGGAAAAACCTTCTCAAGCACTATAATACCATTTGTCATTGTTCCAATAGAGACAATTCTAACCATAACAATACACTTTCCAACCTATACCAACACACATAAACAAATTCTATTTAATAAATCGAGTAGTAACAAATAAACTTTAAAATAAAATACTAAGTGTTACCTTTGTTCATCTAATTACGGCTCTTAAAGACTTCCAAGCAGTCTTAACAAAGAAATCATCATACACAGGGAGAAGAGTCTCCGTAGACTCAGAAGCATTAGAAGGCACAAGGCTAAACTTATCAGCAGACAACCTAAAAATATACAAAAAGATATATTTGAATACAAAACTACATACAAAATATCAGAATATGAAGAATATACCGAAAATAACAATACAATAAACCAAGTGAACGTACCCATTAATAAATCTCGCCGCAAGAGTAATGTTTGGATTAAACAAAATCTGAGTTCAACTATAAGAGTTCGAGATGCTAATCTTACCTATCAGAAAAATAAACAATCAATAAACTCAATCCAATCTAATACTCATTACACATATAAAATTAAAAAGACCTGTATACTCTCTAATGCATGCAAGTCTAATTACACACACAACAACGGTATCAGCATGTGCAGCAATTTACTCAGCCATCTGTGTAGCATAATTGTCCCATAAAGTGCACGTTAAACGTAGATCACTGCAGTCACAAATATGAAAACAACTATGTATGAATAGGAGATAAACATTCACCAAAAATTTCAGATTTTTAAAATTAGACCAAATTTCATACCTTGTATCAAGAAGAGTAACTTTGGACATGTTACATATTTTCCCATGTGTCATAACCTGTTCAAGAGTTCCCAAAGCAACGACTAGGCCTATGACATCTATAAATTAAGAAGTAAATTTAGCACACATCAATACACGAAAACAAAATAAAATAGATATTAACCAACACCTACCAATCAAATACGTCTTATCCAAATCAGTAGACAAAATCTCAATGAATGTCTTAAAATACTTCTCAGGAGTATTCGTTGGAAAATCATGACAAACACTCAACTCGATGGTCTCATAAAAATAAATTTTACAAAGAAGACGAATTATCGGATAATCACCCTTGTATTCAAAGACCTTGAACATATCAACCATGTATACACCACATTGAATCAACTTATCCTAAAACTTGTTTACACAATCCTTATCTAGAGTAGCATGTATGCGATCACCCTTAATATATATTAAAAAAGTTAATCTAACATATATTTTTACAAAAATAAGTAACGTGAGCAAATTACATGGGCGTCAAAAAACACGACATCCATTATTTTGCCAGATTTAACCCAAAGCTTCAGTACACAAACCTTTATTTTATAATGATCAGACTGTGGGGTCAAATCTTTAATGTTAACCAAAACACCAGACTTTCTCTTGAAAATAGACATTATCTCAGCTTAGAAAGGTTAAGTTTTCAAAAACAAACTCAAAAAATAATTTATACAAATACCAATTACTCTAAAACATTTGCATCATTATCATAAAATTTTTATTAAAGTTAATATCTCCCAAAAAGTCTATCTAATTAATTATGACTGACAATATACTTTATAGTATATTATCTAAAAACGTTATAAATATAAGATATATATCTCCATAAATATATGTTATATGATACAGATTTTCTTAATATTTTAACTAATTAAAGATATCCACAAAACTCACAACTTTTATAAAGATAAAGATAATGATAAATCTTTAATATATATATATATATATATATATAATATGATACGGGTTTTTCGTGAAATTTTATAACCCAAAAAATTCTTCAAAAATTATACATAATATACTTATTCCATATGCCAAATATTTTCTTAATATCTGTACTGATCGTAGATAATCACAAAGGACTCAACTTCTATAATAATAAGGATAAAAGAACATTTGAAATATATATATATATATATATAAAGATGATATAGGTTATTTGGAAATTTATAATTAACCAACCAAATCTTTCAAAATTTTAAACAATCATAATAAGCTTTGAATGTTATCAGTTACTTATAGTATGAATTTGTATGATCAAACCATGATTTAAATTTATATAAAACACTGAGTGTCACTCTAGTATTTTTCACATAAACTAAAACAAATATGTAAATTTCTAAAAATTAGTTAATTACATTCTTAGGGAGCCATATACGAAACATCAATCAATTTTTTTTTTTTTGGATAAACTTTTAACGCGTACTTGATAGAATGATAGGCTCCTCCACTATGAGTTTTCTGCAACAGCACTATCAGATATATCACCGAACAATAATCTGAAACAGTTAAGCTCGGATAAATTCAGAGACAACTTGGATTCGAACTCTAGAAAGATAATTATACGGCCAGATCCAACTGTTTATTCACCAACTACATCAAACCATCACAATATATCATTTTTGTAGACTATCATGATTTATATTTTCAACTTTTCACACATTTTTTAAAAACAGGTATAGGACCAGGGCCGTGCCTACGTTGAATAAATAGAAGCATTGGCCTACGGCCCCATCTTCTCCTACTCAAAGTTAAGACAAATTTGAGATGCCTTTTCATTCCACTTCATCTGCATTTATTTGGTCATCTGCATTTATTTGGCCTCCTCTTAGCATTGAATATCAAAGCTACCAGTATATGTATATCCGAAATTTATGATTTAACCTCCGTAATACTTGGTTTAAAAACTTAAATTCTCATAATTAAACCATATAATTTGAAAAAATTATATGTTCTAAGCAATGTGAGAGAAAAGTCATAGTGAGCCACCGACGATTTAATGAACGGTACGGTGAAAATGTACCCAGCAATTTATGACCCCTATTAAAATCACATTGACTGTTGTTCACACACATACTCTCGTTGTTTTCCTTTTTAAGTGTTATTTCCCTGTTCGTTTGGCAGCCGCAGGTCCTGTGGTTGCGGCTGCGGCAATAAGTTTTGTTCATTTTGTTGCCGCGACTTCCTGCATCTAAACGCTGCGTTAACCGCAGGTACCTGCGTTTAAAATTTTTAGACGCCGTAGAAATTCGGCGGTGCGGCTAATTTTACTGCGATTCAATTATTAAAAGACCATATTATCCTTGATAATATTTGTAAATTACATTGAAATGTCATTAAACCTAAAACCATAGATCTTTCACGATTCGCCATAGATTTTTCACGACTGCTTCTTCTCCCAACTCTTTCAAAAGATTCAAACTTCATCTTCAATGGTTTCTGGGTTTGTTCATTTGGATTTTATAGTTTCTGGGTTTAGTTTCTAAGCTCCGCTCAAGCTGTTTTCTCTCTCTCTCGGCCACTGGTGAACTCCTCTCTCTCTTTCTCCTTTCCTGTTGTCGACAATTTCAGTGAATTTAGTAAAGTTTTGTTTTGCTTGAGAGAAAGCGTTATATAATTTGTGTTTTTCTTCTGTGAATTTAGGAATTTCTGGATTTCTTCCTTGAAGCAGTCTTCACCGTCCATTGCTCCGGATTCGATAAGCTCTCTTCACTATCTCTTTATAATTAAGCTCTCTTCACTATCTCTTCATATCTTTGAGATAATGTTTTTGATTATTTTTTTATATAACTTTGGTTATTTATAACTTGATGTTGTATTTTTATTTTATTTCAGTTAAATGTTTTACTTTATTATTTTTAATTTAGTTTATTCTATGATTTATCATAAAATAAGTTGTTTTAAGTTGTTATAGTTATATATTCAACTTAAAAATTATTACTAACTAAATATGATATTTCTTATAGATATAAATGTATTTAAATTATATTTTATTGATTAAAAATCTAATTATACAAATTTATAAAAATAAAATATGAATTATATAAAAACTTGTCATAGAGTCTGCAACGAACAACATTTATGCGTCCTGCGGCTGCGTCTTACGGCTGCAACTGCTATCTAAACGAATAATATAAATTTACTGCGGCTGTGGCTGCGGCTGCGACTACCAAACGAACATCAAGCTGCGGTAATGTTGCCGCTGCCACCACCACTACTCTCCCGCTGACGTTGCCATTGCCGCCTGCGGCTCCCAAACCAACAGGGCTATTGTTGTTCTTACGCAAGCATTATCTTTTTCATGAAATTCATAATATAAAATGAGTTAGTCTATGGAGTAGATGATTGGGCTATATATTTTGACTATAATAATCGTATCTTTTTCAGTGAACTCGTAGCAGGAGATTTACATAAAAGTAAAATTTGAACTTTTTTGGAAAAAAAAACTATTTCCTCTGTTTCATAAAGAATATTATTTTAGAGTTTTATTTTTGTTTCACAAAAAGTTCAGTTTTAACTTGGTTATATTGATGTATTAATTAGAAAGAGAAAGTTGTTTATTGTATTTGTAAAAGAACTTTCTTAATATATGTGAAAAGAGTAAAAAGATATTTTTTTTAAACGTAAGAAGTATTTTTTTTACAGTAGGCAACTAATTTCATTTTCCTTCGTAATTGACATATATAATACTCTTGAGGATAAAAAGTTATATACATATGGGGATAAGATTTATAGATACACATTCATTTAACGCCAATCCAACTACCATGCTCGTTCTTTGGGTCCCATGCAGTAATGTAGCAATTGTGAAACTTGTGATTGCCCTTGAATCGTATAAGAATATCTCGGTTTACTTATATATACACTTCTTCTTCATAATAACTTCCTCAAGTGATCTCTGCCTTCTCCAATGGCTTTGCGGTTAAGTTTCCTAACTTTGTTCCTTTTCGCGGCAGCTCTCTCTTCTTGCCTCATGGTCTCAGCTTCGCTAGTCGAAGGAAAAGTCTCTTGTTTCGACTGTCCCAATGATTACGATTATTCAGGTCAATTCAATACCAACCCTTAAATAATGAGTAGACATTAGTTTTCTTTTTTGGATTTTTATTGTTAAACTTTATACTAAAACATTTCTGTTTTACTATCTAAACTATTCATTTTAACTCTATATAGAGATAGCAAATAAAAGATACTAGAACTCTAGTGAGAGTAGACATTGTTATAATCAACACTCTTTCTATTCATACTATTAAAACTATATTTATTATTAATTTCATTTTCAGGAATCATGGTCAGCGTTAGTTGTAGCCACACCGAGACCCGGTTCACTGCCTCAACCGACAAGAAGGGCGAGTTCATGTCGGAACTTCCCTCGAGGGATACATCGAACTGTGAAGCAGAACTCCAAGGTAGCTTCAAGCAACTTTATGCTGCAACTAAGGCCATTAAGTCCAAGATTGTTAAGCTCGAAGGTGATAAATATGGTCTCTCTTCGAAGTTGATCTTCTTGAGATCATCCCCAAGAAGCCTCGGATCTTTCGGTTCGTCAAAGACTGTTGATTTACCAGTTCCTCGAGAGTGGGGGCTGGCTCCGACCAGCTATTACTTTCCTTTCTTCCCCATCATCGGTATCCCATAAGATCCACGGTTTAGTTTTAATCTTTAGTTTGTGTCTTTCATGTAATGTATTTATATGATATATGTATGTGTAGAGACATGTAACTATATTAGCCTGTTCATTTCAAGTTCAAGCTTGAACTGAGGTTTCTGTGTAATCTTAGTGTATGAATGATGCTTTCCTCTTATATATGAATCATAGTTTCTTGTGAAATCATTTGTGAAAATTCTTTATCTTTATGCGATACTAATTAGTGAGTAATTTTTCATGATTTTCTTTAAATAATTACCACCCTTTTTGATAACTCATCCTGATATCACTATTTTTCTTCCCGTATATGTCCTCTGTATTTATATCGAGTAATGAATTGATAAATAAATAAAAAGGAGACTCGTAACTAGATAAACAAATTGCTTTGATAAACTAGTAAAATAAACTCAATTCGTAGGAAAAGTATAAATGTTTTAACTGAAACAACCATGACATCTTTGTGGCTTGCATTTTTGTGTCATTTATAATTTATTCATGTTCAAATGTTGAATTATACATTGGTTTAGAAACAAAAACAAAAACTACAATAACTATTGTCATCAACCGATTAAATAAAATATATCGTCAGATTTCATACATTAATTTTGGAGTTCGCCCTCAACTATACACGGAGTACTACTACAAAAAAAAAAAAAAAAAAAAAAAAAAACAGAACAATAGCTATGAATATGCATTTCATTTGACTGGTGCTCTTCACTTTTATGTGTTTGACGACAACTGGTACTCTTGATAAACCATATGTGCTTTTCGTTTTCACAATAATCAATGTATTTCAAGGAGGAGTCTAGAGTTTGTGGATACTGGGTCTAATTTCTGATTTTATTCGATTATTGTTGTTTTCTTCAAGTTATATATTAGAGAAGTTGAGCATTACTGGAGCTGCAAAAAATATGCTCAAAGCATTCAAATTTTATAATGACACACAGATGTGTTTTTTTTCTGTTTGTTGGTAAAACACACATAGTTTACTTTCCTTCTTTGATTTTTAACTACATTGATATGAGAATTTTTGTTTAAATGCATACATACTGAGCACTTAAAACACAGATCGCATACGATTTAAGGATATTTACCAAGAGCTCGTAATGAATATTGACTTTACGATTCATACAACTTTATTTATTTTAACATATACAATATGCAGTACCATATACAGCATATATCTCTCTTGTGATAGAAAGCCTACTGGGCGATCCTTGAGGGAGTATATATATTGTAACTCGTTACCCTAATTGTTTTCGTCTATAGATTGCGAAAGATATGCATATGGAGGAGGAGTACCGTATCCAACTTGTGGAGGACTATAAGTTGGGGTGGGAGGCTTCTGCACGGGTGGTGGCATTATAGGAGGGCTGTATGTTGGTGTTGGAGGCTTCACTGGGGGTGGTTTAACAGGTGGACTGTAGGTTGGTGTCGGAGGTTTCTGCACTGGAGGTGGCTTTATTGGGGGACTGTAAGTTGGAGTTGGAGGTTTTTGAACTGGTGGTGGCTTGATAGGAGGACTATAAGTTGGTGTTGGAGGCTTCTGAATAGGTGGTGGCTTGACAGGGGGACTGTAAGTTGGCGTTGGAGGCTTTTGCACAGATGGTGGTTTAACGGGTGGATGCACTGGAGGTGGTTTGATAGGAGGACTGTATGTGGGTTTTGGAGGCTTCACCGGTGGGGGTTTAACAGGTGGACTGTAAGTTGGTGACGGTGGCTTTTGCACTGGTGGTGGCTTGACAAGGGGACTGTAAGTTGGTGTTGGAGGCTTTTGCACCGGTGGTGGTTTTGCTGGAGGACTGTAGGTTGGTGTAGGAGGCTTTTGCATTGGTGGTGGCTTGACAGGGGGACTATAAGTTGGTGTTGGAGGCTTCTGAACTGGTGGTGGCTTTTGCACTGGTGGTGGTTTAATTGGTGGATGCACTCGAGGTGGTTTGATAGGAGGGCTGTATGTTGGTGTTGGAGGCTTCACCGGTGGGGGTTTAACAGGTGGACTGTAAATTGGCGTCGGTGGCTTTTGAACTGGTGGTGGCTTGATAGGAGGGCTATAAGTTGGTGTTGGAGGCTTCTGAACTGGTGGTGGTTTGACAGGGGGACTATAAGTTGGTGTTGGAGGCTTTTGCACCGGTGGTGGTTTTATTGGAGGACTGTAGGTTGGTGTCGGAGGCTTATGAACTGGTGGTGGTTTTACAGGAGGACTATACGTTGGTGTTGGAGGCTTTTGAACCGGTGGTGGCTTGACAGGGGGACTGTAAATTGGCGTTGGAGGCTTTTGCACAGGTGGTGGCTTGACAGGGGGACTGTAAATTGGTATAGGAGGTTTTTGCACTGGTGGTGGCTTGACAGGGGGACTGTAAGTTGGCGTTGGAGGCTTGACAGGGGGACTGTAAATTGGTGTTGGAGGCTTTTGAATTGGTGGTGGCATGACAGGGGGACTGTAAGTTGGCGTTGGCGGCTTTTGCAGCGGTGGCGGAATTGCTGGAGGACTGTAGGTTGGTGTCGGAGGCTTCTCAACTGGTGGTGGTTTTACTGGAGGACTGTAGGTTGGCGTCGGAGGCGTTTGTACTGGTGGTGGCTTGATAGGGGGACTGTAAATTGGTGTTGGAGGCTTCTGAACTGGTGGTGGCTTGATAGGAGGACTGTAAGTCGGTGTCGGAGGCTTTTGCACCGGTGATGGTTTTACAGGAGGACTGTAAGTTGGTGTCGGAGGCTTCTGAACTGGTGGTGGCTTGACAGGGGGACTGTAAGTTGGTGTTGGAGGCTTCTTAACTGGTGGTGGCTTAACAGGGGGACTGTATATTGGCGTTGGAGGCTTTTGCACAGGTGGTGGTTGTATTGGAGGACTGTAAATTGGTGTCGGAGGCTTGTGGACTGGTGGTGGCTTGACAGGGGGACTGTATGTAGGTGTCGGTGGCTTTTGCACTGGTGGTGGCTTTATAGGAGGACTGTAAATTGGTATTGGAGGCTTCTGCACCGGTGGTGGGTTGATAGGAGGGCTGTAAATTGGTGTGGGAGGTATTTGTATTGGTGGTGGTTTGATAGGAGGGCCAGGTGTTGGTGGCGTTGGGTAGCTCGGTGGAGCACCATAACCATAATTATTTATCTCATACCTGTTGAAGTTTTCTTCCACCGTTTCATCTGCAGCGACTAAAGCACCACTAAAAGAAAGAATGAGTACAAAGAATCTCAAGAAATCTATTAGTGGAACTCTCATCTTGTAAGTGAGACTTATTGTGAACTAAAGATAGACACTCGTTCTGAGTTTAAATACTTGAGCTACTGAGAAAAGCTTTCTGAATTGCCGGGCTTTGTTATGAAAGTTTGTTTCTACAGAATTTCCGGTAGATTCAATGACTCTTCACTCTCAGCTTTCGCCATGAACGGTTATGGTTCGTGTCAAGAGACCCTTATATTACTTTGTCCATTTTCAAACCCGTGTAAGATCTCTTTGCTAATGCCGTACATGTGTCGTTCGAGGTTGCTTGAAGCCGTTTCTGATTATGTAATTATTTGTCTTGTTATATTGATTAGAACCCTTAAGGCAGCTTTTAGTCGTTGTTTTGTAGTCTGGAGAAGCCTGGAACTAGCTGGAGCATGCGTAGCTTGTACACTACTCTACCAGGTTTGAAAACGTTTTCTTTTTTACTTTATTGATTTTTTAAAAATTGTAATTAATCGATTGCTCGAATACTGTCTTTAATAGCAATATTTCTCCAAGCTAAAAACCATTAGTGTTTAATTTTTGTTAAATAGTTTATTAACCATCAGTTAAACTAAAGAATAACTTTTAATGGATGTCATTGGCAAAAAAAAACCTTTTGATAAGTGTCACTTTTAAAGCATTTTCATCGGTGGAGAGATTCTTCACCGTCTCTCACCTATAAAAAAAACTAATAAAACTTATTTATTTAGTTAAAATTTTAAACATAGAAGGAAATAGCTAATTATTAACTGACGAATGTATGATACATTTCTAAAAGTTTCTTTTATATGTACTAGAGATGTTTCCGCGCTACGCGCGGATTGTTTTTATATAGATATTTGATTATTATTTAAGTTAATTTATTTTCACTTTAAGTTAATATTTTAAATATAATATTTAATTTTTAAAATTGTTTTGATATGATTATACATCAAAAATATTTTAACGTATTCAAAAAATGTATCATGATATAATTTTAAGAATTACCTACTTGATATATGCTAAAATTAACTGTTAAACTCAATGTTATTCACTACTAACTTTCAAAATATTATTAAAATTATTTTTGTTTTGACTAAATTTGTTTATTATTGTTCCAATTAATTTAGATTATTATTTTTATTTCAACTGTGTTCGTGTAGTGTTTTTATTTAATTAGCAATCTCAAATACAAACAACACTCAATATTCTAATCTCTTATAAATCTATAAAATAACTATGATTCATATAAATAAAAATAATATTTACATAGTATAAAAAATCACAATCATATTGATAAAATGCAATTTTGATTTGGTCTATGAAGTACACGTACACTATAAAAAATATAGATGAATAAGGCAAGTAATACATATACAAATACAATTTCATACTAACTCATTATGTTAAATAAAGTATGTTGAGTTTCTCAAAACTCAAAAGATGTAAAAATTTTTGCTTGTAGTTTAACTTAAACATTTTTTCTTAAACTACACATATATATTTTGATGAGCCTTTATAATTAAACTAATAGTATATATTATATTATTTTTAAAAAAGTTTCTTAACCCAGTAAAAAAAACCATATTAGTTTTTCATTCAAGTTGGGTTTATAAGGAATTTTGTTGATGTGGATAATTAGAGATTTTTTTAGACATTTTCTTCTACATAAAAATGTGTATGTTATTTTTTCAAAAATGCATTATTATTTAATTTAAAAATTTACTAACTTGATATATATAAAAATTAACTGTCATCTAAAACTTAATTTTTGTTTATAAACTGTTTAACTCATGTGTTGACATGTATCGCTTGTAGTAACTTGACTACCTTAAGCCAACTAAGACACACATTGAATAAATATCAGTGCATGAAATTCTTCTTATGTCTATCATTTTCTGCAATGTAAATAGTAACGATGATCAAAATCTTCATATAGATAGATGCTTTGAAAAGCTTCCTATAATTTCTGTTGTCTTGTTGGTTGCCTTAAATCTAACGTACTATGATGTTTAATCTGTATGTTTCTAAAAGGTGAATGTTTTAGATTTTTATAATTTGTAAATATTTTAAATTTTATTTTAGAAATTATTATTTTGTAATCTTGTTTCTATTAACTATTATTTTTTTTAGAGCAATTTGTTGTCTAATATATTCACTATATTACAAAAAGGAGTATATATTAATGCTACAGATTTAAATGATATTTATTTTACCGATTTAGAAAATGATATTTAGTTTTATTTACCTATTCCTAATAACTATATTAACTTAGTGGTTCTATTTATTTATTTTATGTGTATTTCAAAAGATATAAAGTGAAATTTTTTATTATTGTTATATTACAAACAAAAGAAGTATATATTGATGCTATAAATTTAAATGATGTTTATTTTACTGATTTAATATTTTAATTTTATTTACTTTTGTTGGTAACTATATTAATTTTAGTGACAAAAATGAGTATATATTAATGCTACAGATTTAAATAATATTTATTTTACTGATTAAAATGATATATAGTTTTATTTAGTTTTCGCTAATAACTATATTAATTTAATGGTTCTATTTATTTATTTTATGTGTATTTTAAAAAATCTAAAGTGAGAATTTTCATTATTGTTAATTTGTTATATTACAAACAAAAGAGTATATATTGATGCTATAGATTTAAATAATATTTATTTTACTGATTTAAAAAATAATATTTTATTTTTATTTACTCTTGTATTTAACTATATTAATTTTGGTTCTATTTATTTACTTTATGTGTATTTCAAAAAAATTTAAAGTGGGAATTTGTATTATTATTTTTTGCTGATGTGTCATATTTTTAGAGTAGTTTGAAAAGCTGAGGTGGATAGCTTAAGGAGCCCCAAATAGTTCCTTTTATTTAGTATAGATGTAGTTTTTCTCTCTTTTTCCTTTGTTTTTTATATTTTTATTTTTGAAATACCCCTCTCATTAATGGAGGTGCTCTTAGCCATGCAAAATCTATCTCATTACAATTTGATATAAATCTTGGTGAAATAATGCTTTCTTATTATTATTTTGGTTGAGATATTATATTTTATTAATCAGCAAAAAATCAAATTATTTACAAAGTTCAGAAGTAGACGACTAAACCTAAAAACTGAAAAAATCAAAAACCATAGTTGATAGTTCCGAAAAAAGATCAGCACCATCGCTGCAGTAAAATATTATGATTTTGAACATCTCTTTACTCTCAAGAAATTGATCAAAAACTCAATATCACTGATGATGAGAAAAAAAAAGTTATAATTGGTCGAAAGCATTTTGTGTGATACCATATATAGGGGCGTGTTATTCGTCTGAGTTAAGTTTCCAAGTTTAGTCCTCTGAAAGAAAAGAAAGGCAACGACTCGTTTCAGGACAGAAATCTATTGAGTGTTGGGTGGAATCTGAAAGGATCTTGCGAACACTATGTGAAAAGTCAATTAGGCTTTTAGAAGGATCGAATAGGGATTTCCTCCTGAAGGTTCTTCGACGTTTAAGTCAATGAATGCCCTACTGAGAACAAATATTCGGGAGGGAGAGGGGGAAAGTGATTCTACAGGTTGGGGATTAGATGCCTCGTCTGGGGATTAAGATATCTTTCTGCTCATGAGTATTTTAAGGGGTTCTATACGGGAAATAGGACGTAGCGAGTAAAATGGCACGGTTCTGTTTTAATGAGAGGTTTATCTTGTTTGGCGTTATCTCGAGGGAACATGGGCGTTCCCTTAAGATTACGCTGCGCGGCTATGTCTGACCTCTCCAGGATGGGGTCTGGCTCTCTCTCAGTAGACTCGGCTCTAAAGAAGATCTCTCCTTTGATCTCTACATCTTTTCCTTTAGTCGGATCCTTCCTCTCCCTCTCTCTCCCTAAGGATGGGTCTTCATTTATACAGGCCTCCCCAGTCTTGTCCCATCCGTTCGGCATGTCAGAAGAGTAGGTGGGCTTGTGGCACATGCGTGATTCGGGAAGCTCACCAACTGCCCGAGAACAGTACGCTAAAGGGTGTTTGGCCAAGTTAGTCAGGCCATGTCAGTGTCTAGAGTGGTTTGGTGTCTACGTGTCGTGCCGTCCTTGGTCGTGGTAAAAAAGAGTTGAACAGTTTCCCCCAACTTCTCGACAGATTAGAAATGAGTCAGGGAGTCAACTTCTTCGCGCTTTCTACATAATGAACATGAGTTATCCGGTTCCCTAAGTTTTTTCCATGAGAGGCCATATTTGAGGCAACGACCTTGCCTCGCGTCCTGAGGGATACAGTACTGGTGTAGGTGAAGCTAAGTTCTTGAAGGGAAAAGGTATACTTAAGTACTCGCCTGAACCGTTCCAAACATCTTTGGGAATGCGGTACTGGTTGGGGAGTTATGTTTCGAAGAAGCAAAAGGAATATTAACTCCGACCCTGCCACATATCTTGAGGGAGTACGGTTCCAGCCGGAGGAATTAAAATTCCGAAGAAGCGAATAAAAAGAGGTATTAACTCCGACCTTATTCATATATCCCGAGGAGCACGTTATTGGTCGAAAGAATCACTCTTCTGGAGAAGCGAACCACAAGACGGTTAAACTGGGTGCCAACTCAGACCTTATTCACATCCGGGGGAGTACATTATTGATAGAAAGAATTACACTTTTGGAGAAGCAAACCGTGAGACAGTCAGACTAAATACAATATTTGTGATCTGAATGGCAAGTTAGATGCTCTAAACCAAAGAGTCAAGTCTATAGAAGGCTGCCACTTGCTTGCTGAAGAGGATGAAGAGTTTGATGATGAAGATGCTTCATTGGAAGACCTTGGCATAATGCTTCAAGAGATGTTGTTACATGTGGATATGTTAAAGGCTGAGTGTGTGGGGGGGGGGGGAATGTCATCAATGTCACCATTGATGATTAAGAGGCCTTTGGTATTGTAGAGAATTTCCTTCAAGGGATGGATGACAGCTTGAACAGAGAAGAAGAGCTTGCTTTGGAGCAAGAGAGAGCTGCAAAAGAAGCTGCTGAGAAGGAAGAGGCCGAGAAAGC